ACTAATGCAGCACAGGAGTCACTCATTTATGCCAAGAAATTTGGCCAACTGAGTGGAAGAGAACTGTATTTGTGCCCATTCCAAAGAAAGGTGACCCTATGGAATGTGGAAATCACAGATAATATCATTAATATCCTATGTAAGCAAAATTTTGCTAAAGATAGTTTTAAAATGGCTGCAAACTTACATTGACAGAGAATATCCAGAGGTTCAAACTGGATTCAGAAGAGGATGTGGAATGAGGAACATCAGATGTATCTTGGTTGAAAGTCAAGAATACAAGAAAGATGTTTACCTGTGCTTTATTGACTACCCAAAGGCTTTTGAATTTGTGGATCATGACACACTATGGACAGCATTGTGTATAATGAGTATTCTAGAATACTCAACTGTGCCCTTGAGGAACCTGTACATAGACCAGACCAGAACAAGGGAACACTGAATGGTTTAAAATTAGGAAAGATTTGTGCTAGGATTGTACACTTTCACCATAGTTATGCAATCTGCATACTGAGAAAATAATCTGATAACTTGGATTATATGAAGAAAAATGTGGCATCAGGATTAGAGGGACTCATTAACAACCTGCAATATGCAGATGATACAACCTTGCTTGATAAAAGGGTACTTAAAATACTTACTGATTAGGATCAAAGACTACAGTCTTTGATATGGATTGCACCTCAATGTAATGAAAACAAAAATCCTCACCACTGAACCAATAAATAACATCCAAATAAATTGAGAAAATTTTGAAGTTGTCAAAGACTTCATTTCACTGGGATTGACCATTAACACTCATGGAAGCAGCAGTCAAGAACTCAAATGACATACTGCATTAGGCAAATCTGCTGAACAAGACCTCTTTAAAATTTTGAAGAGCAAAGATGCCAGTTTAAGGACTAAGGTATGCCTAACCCAAGACATGGTATTTTCAATAACCTCATATGTATGCAAAAGTTGGACAGTGAATAAGGAAGATTAGAAGAATGATGCATTTGAGTTATGGTGTTGGAGGAGAATATTAAAAGTACCATGGACTGCCAAAACAAAAAACAAAAAAACCAATCTGTGGTTGTAAGAAGTAGAGCCAGAGTGCACCCTGGAAGCCAGGATGACCAGACTTCATCTCTCATACATTGGACATATTATCATGAGCAACTACTCCCTGGAGAAGGATACCATGTTTGGTAAAGTGGAGAGTTGGAGAAAAAGAGGAAGACCGCTAGTGAGATGACTGGCATGGTGATGGTAGCAACGGGCACAAATGTAGCATCAATTGTGAGGTTGGTGCCGGACCAGGCAGTGTTTCATTCTGTCACTATGAGTCAGTATTGACTCGATGGCACCTAAAACAACAACAAACAAAATAGTTTCACACTGCCTCAGCAGGGCAGAGGCCTAGCAGAATCTTGACTGAAAGGCCAAGGATCAGCCATAGCCCTGCCTATGAGAATGGGAAGAACTCTCTTGACCAAGAACTCTACCCAGAACGTATCTGGTCCTGTTAATTTTCCTCATAAAGCCCATAATTGTGAATAGTGTGTCTGAGTTCTACGTGGCTATACATTTTCAAATCCAACAGAGATGCAGAGAGTGGTTTGGGAAGGTCAGTTGATATTAGACTTGTTAAAGGAAGTTGGAGGGTGGAGGTGTGTTTGACTTCTGCCTCATTAGAATGGATCAGCCTTGGACTAATGCTGATGGTGATTTTCCTTCTCCTTACCTATAGAGTAAGAATAGCTCAGACACTGTCCCCATGTCATTTTAGCAATCACCCACTGATTGCTAATAAGGACCCTGTAAAACAGGAGTCCTGGTGTGGCGCTGTGGGCTAATGGGTCAGACTGCCAAGTCGTTTGAACCACAGGGTTCATTGTTCAAGTTTACCAGCTGCTCCTTGGAAACCCTTCGCAGGATTGCTATGGATCAGAATGGACTCGACAGCACTTAACAACAACAAAACAGACTACATACAACTGCTCCTCAGGGTTTCTGAGTTGTTAACCCATTATGGGAGTATACACTGTTATCTTTCTCCTGCAAGAACTGCTGGTGGATTTGAAACACAAAACATTATCGTTAGGAGCCTGATGTTTAACCCACCGCATCACTAGGACATCTTATTCAAGTTAATAAGAATTTCAATTTGGAAATATAATATTCACTTTTATTTGACACCTTCATTTTCCCACTGCCTCGCTAAGTAAGATCATGCTCCCCAAATGCTATTAAAATTGCTTTTTCAAAAGTTATTTGTCAAAATTTTGTCATTTATGGTTTGTAAAGTGATTTCATTGGCTTAGGCTAACATGACTGTAAACCCTTTTTGCTTAACTGTAATGCTCATGTTCCAATCTATTAAGGGCTTGCCATTGATTACTTTTAATTTAATTTGTTCTTATTTTCTTAGCTTTCTAAGGTGAAAGTTTAAATTACTGATTTAGAATTTTTATTATTTTCTAATATATGCATTAAATGCTGTAAACTTTCCTTTAACCACTACTTTCCATGCACCACATAGTATTTGAAGTGTTGCGTTTTAATTTTCCTTTAGTTCAAATATATATAAAATTTATCTTGTATCTTTTTCTTGATCCATGTGTTATTTAGAAATGCGTTGTTTACTCTCCAAATATTTTTATCTTACTCAACTATCTTTCTGTGACACTGTAAGATAAACACTGGACTGCTATCCACAAGGTCAGTGGTTCAAAGCCATAAGCTGCTCCTTGGAAACCCTATACCAGGTCACTATGAGTCAGAACTGACTCAATGGCACTTAACCACAAACAACATTTTTCTGTTAGTAATTTCTAGTTTAATATCACTGTGTTCTAAAAACATACTTTGTATGATTTCTACACTTTAAATTTATTATGTTTTATGGACTTTCTTGGTGTATTGTCCATGTGAATCTGAGGAGAATATGTGTTCTGCTGGTGCTGGATGAAGTATTCTGTAAATGTCAGTTAGGTCTAGTTGATTGGGGATGCTGTCCAGTTCAACTATATCTGTACTGATTTTCTGCCTGTTGGATTTCTGGCCTACTGAGGGAAGAGAGTTGAAATATCCAACTCAAATAGTGGATTCATCTCTACCTCCTTGCAAATGAATTAGTGAAATTGAAAACAGAAAATCACTAGAGAGAATCAATGAAATTAAAAGTTGGCTCTTTGGAAAGTTAAATAAAATTGATCCTGTGTCCATTCAAAGGAAAGTGAAAGGATTCTGAACAACTCTATGCCCACAAATTTGAAACTGACCAATTTCTTTGAAAGACACAATTTATAAAAATGTATATAAGGAGAAATAGTTAACCTGAATAGGTAAAAATGTACTAAAGGAATTGAATCACTAATTAATAACCTTCAAACATAAAGTATCAGACCCAGATAGTTTTACAAACACTTTATAGGCTTTATTTCTTTAAATCGAGCAGAAAGTATAACAAATTCCCATGTAACTCTACCTTTCTTTCCTGCTTTTGTATTATTAATATCTTTTATTAGTGTGGCATAATTGATGAAACTATATAGATATATTATTTGTTATTAACTAAAGTCTATAGTTTCCGTTAAAATTCATTCTTTATGTTGTAAAACTCTATGGATTTTGAAAGATGCATATCATGTATCTATTATTATAGTATTATATATAATAGTTTCACAGCATAAAAATGCCCACCTAGTCATCCCTCTTCCTTTCTCCTTACACCCCAGGCAAACAGTGACCTTTTCATTGTTTACATTTTTGCCTTCTCTAGAGTGGTATATAATTAAAGTTATACAGACTATATTCCTTTAAGATTGACTTCTTTCACTTACCAGTATTCATTTAAGTTTTCTCTGTGTCTAAAAAGAGCTAGTTTTCAGCTCTTTTATTTTATAGATATACTACAGTTAGCGTAGTGGTTACGAATCGGGCTGCGAACCTTAAGGTCAGCGGTTCGAAACTACCAGCTGCTCCACGGGAGAAAGATGAGGGTTTCTACTCCCGTAAGGATTTACACCCTAGGAAACCCTGTACAGGGTTGCTATGGGTCGGAACCGACTTGACGGCACGTAACAACAACAACAACAACAGTTTATCAATTCCCCTATTGAAGTAGCTTGGTTGTTTCCAATTTGGGAAAATTATGAATAAAGCTGCTATGAACATTCATGTGCCAGTTTTTGTATAGGCATATATTTTCAAATCATTTAGATAAATAGCTTGGAGCATGATTGCTGGATCACGTGGTAAACTTATAGGCAGGTAGTTCAAAACTACCCAGAGGTTCCGTGGAAGAAAAGTCCTGGCAGTCTGCTTCCATGAAAATTCAGCCAAGAAATTTCTATGAAGCAGTTCTACTCTGTAACACTTGGGATCACCATGAGTTGAAATCAATTAGACCACAACTCAAAACATGTTTAGTTTTGTAACAACCAGTCAAACTGGCAAAGTGTTGTATCACCAGCAGTAAATGAGAGTTCCTGTGCTCCTTATCCTTACCAGAATTAGGTGTTGTCAAGGTTTTTGATTTTAGATGTGTAGTAGTATTTCATTGTCGTTCCAACTTGCAATTCCCTAATAACATATGATGATGAGCGTCTTTTCATATGCTTGTTTTCCTTCTGCATTTCTTGTTTTCTGTCTTGCTTATCAGTTTGTACTGTTTCCTCAAGTGTAGCTTGCTGCAATTTTGTCGCTTATAGTTGTGATTTCTTTGTTTTAAGGCTGGTTATCAATGCTTAATAAAATTCTCCTTTATGTTTGTGACTTCTAGTTTTACTGTTGCCTTTTGTTGTCGATAATCTTTGATGCTGGCACAGTATGTGAAATTGACAATATGCTAATTATTTTGTGAATGAATTCAAAGGTTTGTTTTTATTTTTGTTTTTTTGAATTAAGCTTTAGCGCTAGTATCTCTTTCTCCCTTACATACTGCTGCTTGATTTTGGTTATAATTCTGACATATTTTAATATTTTATACAGAACGTGTGCCTTTTCTTTGGAAAATTTTGCTGTATTTAAATCATTAGGTCACTGTAGCTGTCATTTGTTTCAAACTTTCTTGAGAATTTATCTTCAGAAGTTTTCTCAAGACACTAATTACTTCCTTATTTCTCAGGCTATAAATAAAAGGATTTAATAGGGGAACGACTATTGTAAACAAAATAGCAGCTGGTATATCCTGATCTCCTTCTTCAAGCAAATTCGGTCTAATGTACATGAAGAAAAGAGATCCATAAAATAATGACACAGACAACAAGTGGGATGCACAGGTAGAAAAGGCTTTGACTCTTCCCTCTTTGGATTTCATTTTGAAAATAGTAAAAAGAATATAAAGATAAGATACTAAAACACTACCTATAGTGAAGACTTGAATTGATCCTGAAAAGATAAACAGTACCAGTTCATTAACATAAGGATCAACACAGGAGAGTCTATATAAAGGAAGAATATCACAATAAAAGTGGTTAATATGATTTGATCCACAGAAAGCTAACCTAAATAAAAGTCCTACATGAATCATGGAATGCAAGTTTCCAGCTATAAAGGCCCCTGTGGTCAAGTAAATACAGAGCTTCTTTGACATCATGGTGTGGTACTGCAGTGGACTGCAAATTGCCACATAGCGATCATAGGCCATTGCTGCCAGGAGAAAGCAGTCGGCAGTTTCAACAGTACAAAGAAAATAGAATTGTGCCATGCATTCATAGAGGGAAACCATTCTGTCCTCAGAAAAGAAGTTCTCTAACATCTTAGGAGTAATGGCACAGGCACAGCAAGAGTCCACAAGAGCCAGGTTGCCTAGAAAGATGTACATTGGTGTATGAAGACGACGCTCTTTTGAAATCAGTATCACAAGGCCAAGATTTCCCACTATGGTGACCAGATAGATGGCAAAGAACACTGCAAACAGAAGGCTTTTCAATTCTGGATGATCCATAAATCCTGTGAGGATAAATTCGTTTTTCATGGTATAATTTTCTTCAGCCATGCTTGACTTCTCTGTTGAGAAAAAAATTTTGAACAAATACATGCTAATTTATAATACATTCAATTCAACTGTTAAAATTACTCTGGATTTTGTAATGTCCATTTCTAGGGAGAAGCAATCTCCTGAAGCTATTAGCTATTTGACTTCTTGGCTGAGTTAACAGTTTTATTCCCATTAAAACTTGGTTGGATGCACAAAACTGATTTTAAAGTCTTGAGGAGAATATTGAAGATGAAACATTTGCCTAGATGGGCTAGTTAAGGCTGATTTATAATTTAAAAGTCAGCATATTTGTGTTCTCAAACAATTTCAGTGATTGCATATATACTGTTTAATAATGTTTAAAACACTACATTCATTTGCATATACTTAGGAATTTACTATTGCCAATGCTAATGGGATATACATTCAAAAGTAAAATGTTTTAGTTTTTAGTTGAAAATAAGTGATATTTATGGCACTATTTATAACCTGCAATATTGGGAAGGAAAATGATGTGAATGGAAGCATTCATTAGCGATAGAAAAGAAAAGGAAAGGAAAAACAAATAAAAATTTATATTAAACGACTTTACTAATATCTCCCATGTCCTGCACAAATTAAAAATTTATAATATAATTTATGCAGGCCATGTGGAATTATACATATGCATATGTGCATAGGGAAATTTAAAAAAAATGTAAATGTTACCAAAATAAATTAGAGAAATCTTAATTTTAGAAATTGAGAAATTCAGTTATATAACTATATGTCAAAGCATGAATAAGATTAAATGTCTAAATCAAACTGGGAAATTATTTATAATAAATATGATAAAGGTTCTATAATTTTATTTTATAAAGAGCTTATACAAGTCAATAAGAGAAAACACTAGAAAATTGGTAAAGGATCCGAAAAAACTCACTGCCATCAAGTTACTTGTCTGTCAGTTTGTCATACTGTGGTGGCTTATGTGTAGCTCTAATGCTTGAAGCAATCCCACTGGTATCTTAAATACCAGCAGGGTCAACTAGAGAGGATAGGTTGTAACCAAGCTTCCAGAGTAAGACAGACAAAGAAGAAGGTAAGGGAAATCACTTCTGAATGGCTAGCCACTTAAAATCTTAGGAGTAGCAGTGGAACATTGTCAGATATAGGTCAAGAAGGTCAGTTTGGAAGACACTGAAAATATGCTGGGGGAAGAGCTGCTTCCTCAATGTAGAGTTGACAATAACGAAGAGAATGAAGCAAAGCTTTCAGGACCTTCATTTGTTGATGAAGCACAAGTCAAAATGAGAATAAGCAGCTGCAAACATCCATTAATAATCTGAAAGTAGAAAATACAAAGTATGAATCTAGGAAAATTGGAAATTGTCAAACATTAAATGGAATGCATAAAGATGAATATCCTAGCTAAAATGGATTGGTATTGGTAATTTGCAGTCAGAAAATCATATTGTTTACTATGCTGGGAAAGATAAATTGAAGAGGAATGGAATGCCATTCATCATCTAAAGGAGCATTTCAATATCTGTCTTGAAGTGCAATAGGGTCTGTGATAGGATAATATCATATATCTACAATGAAAACCAGTTAATACTATTATTAATCAAATTTACACACCAACCACCAAATTCAGTGATGATGAAAATAATAATAGTTTCTTCAGTCTGAAATTGTTCAAACATGCAATCAAGATTGATAATACTGATAATTGGAATGGGAAAGCTAGAAACAAACAGGAATGATCAGTGTTGGAAAAAACAATTTGGTGATAGAAATGATTTTGGAGATGGCATGATAGGATTTTGAACGACTAATGACTTTATTCATTGTGAATACATTTTTCAACAACATAGTGGCTATACATGTGGATCTCACCAGGTGGAACACAGGAACCAAATGGACTACATTTGTGGGAGGTGATGGTGGAGAAACTCTATATCATCAGCCAAAACAAGGCCAGGAGCCAACTGTCAGACAGACCATCAATTGTTCATATTCTAGTTCAGACTGAAGTTAAAGAAAATTTAAACACATTCATGAGAGCCAAATATGATCTTGAATATATCCCACCTGAATTTAGAGACAATCTTAAGAACAGATTTGTTGCATTAGACACTAATGACCAAAGAACAGAGGAGTTGTGGGATGAGATCAAGAACTTCATTTAAGAAGAAAACAAAGGTTATTAAAAAGAGAAGAAAGAAAGAAATAAAAGACCAAAATGGATGTCAGAAAAGACTCTGAAAATTGCTCTTAAACATAGAGAACCTAAGGAGAATGAAAGAAATAAGGAAGTAAAAAAGTTGAACAGAAAATTTTAAAGGGCAGCTTGACAAGACAAAGTCAAGTATTATAATGAAATGTGCAAAGACCTGGAGTTAGAAAACCAAAAGGGAAGAACATGTTCAGCATTTCCCAAGCTGAAATAATAAGAAAAAAATCAAACCTTGATTTGCAATGTTGAAGGATTCTATAGGCAAAGACTGAATGATGAAGAAAGCCTCAAAAGAAGATGGAAGGAATACAGAATCATACTAAAAAGAATTGGCTGATGTTTATCGACTTCAAGAGATAGCATATGACAAAAACTGAGGGTTTGAGGGGAGAAGCACAAGAGGCACTGAAGGCATTGGTAGAAAACAAGGCTTCAGGAATTGATGGAATACAAATTGAAACGTTTCAACAAGTTGATGCAGTGCTGGAGGCATTCACTCATCTATACCAAGTACTTTGGAAGACAGCTACCTGGCCAACAAATTGGCAGTGATCCATATTTGTGTTTATTTCAAAGAAAGGTAACCCGACAGAATGCAGAAATCATTGAGCAATATCATTCATATCACATGCAAATAAAATTCTGTTGAAGATAATTAAAAATTATTGCATCAGTACATTGACAGAATTTCAAGCTGGATTCAGAAGATGATGTGGAACTAGGGATATTATTGTTGATATATGGCACTTACCTAAATGCAGAGAAAATCAGAAAGATGTTTATTTATGCTTTATTGATTATGCAAAGACATTAGAATGTATGGGTGTTTAATTGTGCTTTATTGACTATGCAAAGGTATAAACTGTATGTATAACATTGTGAAGAATGGGAATTCCAGAACATTTAATTATGCTTATGAGTAACCTGTACATAAACCAAGAGCCAGTGATTTGAACAGAACAAATGAATACTGAATGGCTTAAAATCAGAAAAAGTGTGTGCCAGGGTCATATCTTTTCACCATATTTATTCAATCTGTATACTGAGCAAATAATCTGACAAATTGGATTATATGAAGAAGACTAGCAACCAAATTAATGGTATACTCCTTAACAACCTGTAATATGAAGATGTCACAATCTTGCTTCTGGAAGTAAATATGACTGGTCATACTAAGGAGCTCTGGTAGCGTGGTGGTTACGAATCGGGCTGCGAACCTTAAGGTCAGCAGTTCGAAACTACCAGCCGCTCCGTGGGAGAAAGATGAGGCTTTCTACTCCCGTAAGGATTAACATCCTGGGAAACCCTGTACAGGGTCTCTATGGGTCGGAACCGACTCGACGGCACTTAACAACAACAACAACAACTTACAGATAAGGGTCAAAGACTAGAACCTTCAGTATAGATTGCATCTCAATGTAAAGAAAATGAAACTCTTCACAACTGGACCAATAAATAATATCATTACACAGGGAGAAAAGATTGATTTTTGACAAGAACTTCAATTTGCTTGGGTACACAATCTACGCTCATGGTAGTGACAGTCAAGAAATCAAAAGACATATTGCATTCGTCAAATATGCTGCAAAAGATTTCTTTACAGTGGTGAAGAGCAAAGATGTCACTTTGAGGACTAAGGTGCATCTGACACAAGACATGGTTTTCAATCATCTCTTATGCATATGTGGAAGTTGGACAATGAATCAGGAAGACTTTTGAAGAATTGGTACATTTGCATTATCATTTTAACGAAGAATATTGAAAGTACTAGGAACTGCCAGAAGAAGAAATTAATCTGTCTTGCAAGAAGTACAGCCAGAGTGCTCCTTAAGAGAGAGTATGTCAAGACTTTGTTTCTTACTTTTGGACATGTTGTCAGGAGGGAAGGACATCATGCTTGGTAAAGTGGAAGGTCAGTGTAAAAGAGGAAGACCCCCAACAAAATGGATTGACACAGTGGCATCAACAAAGGGCTCAAACACAATTGTGAGGATGGTGCAGGACCTGGTAGTCATTAAGAGTTAAACTGACTCAATGACACTTAACAACATTCAAGTCAATTCTGACCTCAGAGCAGCCCTAAATATAGTTTATGAATTTGGAAATCTTCATGAAAGCAGGCAGCCTTGGCTTACTTCTGGTAGGATTAAATCATGGACCTTGCATTTAGTAGCCCGATGCCTACAGTGCCACTAGGGCTCCTTAGGTAAAGGTCAGAAACAGAGGTATATCAAGAAATACAACTTTAAAAATTATCAAGACTGGTTAGCTTCATTACTAATGAGAGAAACAACATTTGTAGATACTATGTTGTTGTTGTTAAGTGCCGTCGAGTCGGTTCCGACCCATAGCGACCCTGTACAGGGTTTCCGAGGGTGTAAATCCTTACGGGAGTAGAAAGCCTCATCTTTCTCCCGCGGATCGGCTATAGAGATGTATTATTTATTTTGCTCTTGTAGCAGAGTGGTTAGAATCGGGCTGCTAACCTTAAGGTTGGCAGTTTGAAACTACTAGGTGTTCCGTGGGAGAAAGATGAGGCTTTCTGCTTCCGTAAATATTTGCAGCCTTGGAAACCCAGTGCAGGGTCACTATGAGTCGGAACCGACTCCACGGTACTTAACAATAACAACAACAAAATAGTAACTCCATTCCCCCCTTCAATTATTATCATTTTTTAAAAGAAATGATTATGTATAGTGCAATATAGGATATGGTGAAATAGGAACCCTTATATATTGTAAGTAGAAGTATAAATTGGCAACATCTTTGGAAAATAATTTGGTGTATAAAAGGGAACTCCTTAATGTTCACACCTTTGACCCTATAGCCATGAGCTTATTTTAAAAAAAT